TGCCCCCCGGGGCCCCCCCCCCCCCCCGCCACTGCCCATGGCAAGACCCACCGCGTGCCCCGTTGGTGCAAGGGACAGAAGCTGCCCATGCCGAGCGGTGGTGGGAGCTGGAGGGACGCTGGTTGGGTGACTAGCAGCACCTGGAGACGAGACCCCAGCCGCTGCCCCTGCCTGGGGGCTGACTCGCGTTGCCGGACCACCGGGGAGAGCTGCCACACTGGGAGGCCCCCCCTGCTCACCACCAGTCCTGGCTGGGACCAGCACTCTTGCCGTCACCTGCGGCACCAGGCTGCCTGCAGGGCGAGACAAGGCGGCCCCAGCTGGATCAACCCCGCCGCGGCCCCAGCAGGCAGGAACCTGCCCACGGCCAGCTGCCTGCCGGCCTTACCTGAGCTGTGGCTACCCACAGAGGTGGTCCTGCTGGCGAGGGAGGGGTGCTCCGGCTGGGCGGCTGTGGTGGTGGGGGGCACCTGGCACGTGCCCAGGTGCGGAGGCAGCTCGGCACTGGTGCTGTCGGCCGCGGGGGAGACGCTTTCCAGCTCTGCCGGGGCCGGCGCGGGGGCAAGGATTTGTTCCGCCGTCTCCCCGGCTTGTGCTGGCAGCAGAGCAGGTTGGTGAGGGCAGGACAGGGGGAAAAAAAAAACCAGCCCACGGTCCCCATCACCCCCATCCCTCCTCCCTGCTGCAGGAGGAAGGTGCCCCCAAGCCACACGTTGCCCTCAGGGCTCGTCCCCATCCCAGCACAGGCGGCCGGACCAATGCCGAGAGCAAGACAGGGCACCTTCCCCGTGGGCGAGAATCCCCATTTAACCTACAACCCCCCCCCCTTCTCCTGCCACGGTCGGGGGACCGTGCTGAGGCTGTGGCAGTGGCACCGGCGGGCAGAGACAGGGGCAAACCCCAGCCGGGCACTCGGGTTCAAACTTGCAGCGTTTGAGCAGCCGGAGAGTCGTTCACAGCCCATCACCCATCACCCAGACGGCATTAGCCACCCAGTCAGACCAGCAGCTGTGCGGGTGACCCCGGCACTTACCTGGCAGCACCCAGAGCCCCCACAGAACCCAGCTCCAGAGCAGCCACTGGCCCCAGCACGCCATGGCACTTTCTTGGCGGCAGGGACAGAGCTGCGGTTCTCCCTGTCCCAGGGGAGCGACGCAACGGGGGTGGCTCCGTCAGTGAGCACTCCCCTGGGCGGGGGGGGCACGACGAGGGCACCACGTGCCCTGCCTGGGGCACTGACGGCTCCGCATCCTCGCAGCCCACCATGGAGGTGGCCACATCCCAGTCCTGGGGACCCGCTAATGCTGGGGGACACCCATTTTGCCACAGGAGGTTTTAAGGCCCTTCCCAGGGTGACCCCATGGTTAACACCCCAAGGTTGGGGTCCCCAACCCCTGGGGAGCACCCGGTGGGCTGCAAAGTCACCTGGGCCAAAGGCCCTGGGATGGCAAGTGGGGACAGGGGTCCCCAGCATCTCTGGGAGGGGTGGGTCAGCCCTGGGGCCCTGCACCCCCATCCACCCCACCCGTTTGCTGCCGGGTCCCTGCCACGCTTGGCCGAGCAGCTGATAACCCCTGGCAGGGGTGGGCTCACCGCCAAGGAGGAAGAAGGAAGGAGCAGCCTCCCACTGCTGCCTCAGGGTCCCGTGCGCTAACCCTGCCTTGTCCCCCCTCCCAGCACCGCTGCCAGGGACCTGCGTGCCGGGGTTATCTGTGCCATCGCGGCAAACACCCACGCAAGCCCGGCCGGGGGGGCTGTTCCCACATGGGCGCCGGGGCTGGGCCTCGCCCTGGGTTGCAGGTCACCTTCCAGCAGGGACAGCAGCCAGGCGCACCCAGCCGTGCAAAGGGACCCAGTGGGGCCACTGCAATAAACACACGTTTGCTTCTTCACGGGTCCCAGCCCAGCTCCGGGATCATTTCAGGGGGGGAAATAAGTTGGTGGAGGTGTTGTGCCTTCCTTGCTTCATTGACAGCCATCCCACCTGGCTGCCATGCCATGGTAGCTGTACCTTAGATGGGGAAACTGAGGCACGGAGAGCCCAAAGCACCTATGCATGACCATGCCCATAGCAGCACTGGCAAACCTCCCTGTCCCCACGCTCAGGGGACTGGACATGAGCAGAGCTGTGGGTGCATATGGCATATAGGTGATGTGGCCAGGTACCATCTGCCACAGGGAGGGACCCATGGCCATGCCAGGGCAGCCCTTCCTGCCAGGTAACTCACTGTGCATGGTGGGGTCTCTCCACTGAAGCCACTAGCTCTGGAGCAGAGGGCATCCTGGGGACTAGGTACCACAAATGCCCATGGACCCGGTGGATTTGGGCACCAAGATCCTCCTCCACCTGCACGGAGACCCTTTCCTGGTGCCGCTGCAAGGTGGCACCTCAGGGAACTCAGGTGGCACCAAGGGGCTCTGACACCCACTTGGGGGGGCGGTTAGCACTGCCACCTGGCCTGGGACCCCATGGGGCCAGCCCCCCCACCGGCACCTGGCTCTGGCTGCGCGGTGGCATCCGGTTGCACAATGCCCCTCGCGTGGGTGGGGGCACGACGCAGGTCCCGCCACTCCCTGCCCGGGCATGAGTCAGGCGGTGGCCGGGAGCCGAACTGCTGCAGGGTACCGGGACAAGGGGGGGCCCTGCTGCGGAGGGCTCCCCTGCACAGGGCCATCATCGTGGACAAGCACTGCCCGCTCGGAGGGGGCAAAACCGTGCCCAGTCTTCAAGCTTTGGTCCTGGGGGTGGGACAGCATGTGGCAAACTCCAGCAGCCCCAGATGGTGAGACCTTTGCCTGGGAGCCCTCACCAGGGGGGTTTTATGGGGGCCCGTGTCATACAGCTCCCTGGGGACCCTCAGCACCTGCTGGGCACCACAGCACACGTGCATCCCCTCCCAGGCACCCTGCACCTGGGCTTCATCCCTGCGGCAGGTCCCGCGGGTCACAGTCCCGGCTGCCTGCAGAGAGGAACTGGTACCCATTGACACATGGCCGGTCCCTGTGCGTTGGCAGGAATGAACCTGGGAGATGGCCACAGGCACCCTCCTCCTCTCCATAGAATATTTTTTTTATATATATATATATATATAATTATATATATTAAAATTACATTTCTCTTTACAAAAACAATTCAACAAGGGGCCAGGGGACGGAGCCCATCGCTGAAGCCTGGGCACAGGCACCCTGGCAAGCCTGGGGTGCTGGGCAGGCTCCCCTTTGGGGTGTCCCCATCCCCCAAGTGGGGGCTCAGTCCAGAGTCCAGCAGCAGGTTGTGTGGGTGGGATGGGCACCAGGGGGGTGGCCCTGCGGCGAGATGCCTGCTCCGGATCCGACGCAGCTCGCCCCGTCCCCGCTGTCACCGCCTGTAAGGAGAGGAGAGGACATGAGCTCAGGAGGGGTGACGGTGCCAGCTGGCCAAGAGCAGCATGGCATGGAGACACCCCCCCCCCCCCAAAAAAA